TACAAGAGAAGATCGAGTTTTGGCAAGGATGTGGATCAGCTGTTCCCTACTGTGGGTGGATGGTTAAATGGTACAGCCACTTTGGAAAAGTGTATGTCAGTTTCTTATAACATCAAAGTTACACCTACCCTATGCCCCCATAATTCCATGCCTCGAAGTGCCCATAAAAAGTCTTTTATTAGAATGTTCTTAAGCAGATTAATTTTACATAGCCCCAAACTGAAAGAACCCATGTGTCCATCAATAGGTGAATGGATAAATAAATTGTGATTTACCCACGCATTGGAAAACTTCAGCTATAAATAGAACTGCTGATACACAGAATAACGTGAATGACTCTCAAAAGAATTATGTTGAGGGGTACCTGAGTGGCTCAGTCAGTTAAGCATCGACTTCGGCTCAGGTCATGGTCTCATGGTTCATGAGTTTGAGTTCCGCGACCGGATCTGTGCTGACAGCTCAGAGCCTGGAGCCTGCTTCGGATTCTGTGTCTCCCTCTCTCTCTCTCTGCCCCACCCCACCCCCCTTGTGCTCTCTCTCTTAAAAGTAAACATAAAAAAAAAAAAAAGAATTATGTTGAGTGAAAGAAGCCAGACACCGTCAATTTATACTTATGATTCCACTTATATTTAGTTTAAGAAGAGTCAAAACAAAACCAAAGAAATTGAAATTAGAATAGTTATTGCTTTGGGGAAATAAAGGTTGACTGGAAAGGGACAGGAGAGAACTTTTTGGGTGCAGAAATGTTTTATAGTTTGATTGGCTGATGGTTATATGTGCATGTGTATGTGTCAAAACTGATCGAACTGTACGTTTAAGATCTATGCATATTATTTTTATAATCTATACCTCAATTTAAAAAGCTACATTTAAAAAAATTCACTAAATCATCAGCAGTGGTTACTCTAAGGAGTGGGATTCTTTCATTTTCCACATAGTGCATTTCTGAGGTGTTTGAACTTTCTTCAACATGCATGTGTTAATTATTTAAAAGAACCACATTTAGAATCCAAAAATATAACTACATAAAGGTAGGATTTGTCCAAAGGGTGCTCAAGCAACTAGTTGTTTCAGGAGGAAGTTAAGTTAGACCTTCTTCTGTAGTTTATACCCTGCCCCCAAGTTCAGGTAAGTGAAAGAGGTAATTAGTGTATAAAGTCAAGCCATAATTTTAAATCAAGCCATAAATAACAGAAAATAGAGGTTAGCATTTATTTCTGAATGGCAAATAAACTAATATTGAAAGCAGTGTTAGGAACTCTAAAGGAATAGATTTTTGCTACACAAAAATATTAAGATACATAATAAAATTATATGCAAACAAAATTAAACACAACAGGAAGTTGGGGGAATTTACAAAAATACAGTGTTTGACAGATTTATAGGCAAAGCATGTGAATTCTAGAAAGGAAGGAAGAATAGAAGGGATGAAGGAGGGAGGAAAAGAGAAAAAAGGAAGGAAAGAAAGAAAAAAGCGAAGGGATAAAAGAGAAGAGAAGGGAGGGTAGGGGAGGAGAAAGGAGGAAGGAGGGGGAAGGGAGGGATAGGAGTTAAGAAGGGAAGGAAGAGGAGGAGGAACACAATGGCTAATCAAGTGAATAAAAACTAAACCTGAAATTTTACCTATCCAATTAGCAAACATTATTGTTACATTCTAGTATTTGATGGCAGGCATAGGCAGGCAAGACAAATTCTTGGTCACTACTTGTAGGAGTGTAAATTGCTATATTTCTGAAAACCAATCTAACAATGTGTATTCACAATCGTGAATATTGTTTATATTCTTCGAACCAGAAATAACACTTTTTGGAATCTTTCTAAAGGAAATAATCATAAGAGTCACTCTTTTCAGGATTATTCATAATTGCCCAAATGATTTTAAATAATAACCCAAGTGCCAACAGTATGGGACTAATTCGTTATATCATAGGATATCTGTTTGATGGATTATTATTCTACCATTAAATAAAGCTTACAATGAGTTTTCAACAACTCTTTTTTTTTTTACGCTTTTTTTTTTTTTTTAAATGCTCATGATAAATTAAGACTAGCAAGGCTGACTCCAGTTTGCCTCCAAAACAGAAATTTCCCACTGGTGCAAAAACACTGTCTCTAGACACACCACATCCCCCCCCTCATTATATTGTAAATATATTAAACGTTAAATGGTACCTCTGCCCCATATGTACTATTCAGGGTTTGTTCAGGACAACACAAGCCACTTCACGTCTTCTGGGTCTACAGGTTTAACACAGCAGTAGGGGTTTACACGGTTGTTGGACGAGCAGGGAGGGAGCAGAGCTGGGGCAACTGCTGCGAAGGCACAGGTGGACGCTGGAGGTCTCAGCCGAAGCAGGGGACAGCCTCGGTGACGCGCATCTGCTCAGCATCTGGCTGTCACCACCTCTGGAGAATAACAGGTTCCCTTTCCCTTCTACCTGCCAAATTTCCCCTGAATTCCTTTCATGCAAACGCCAACCTCCAAGTGGGGGCATTCTGGGAAATGTAGTTCCTGGCTGCTCTGCATTGCGGAAAAGGGGTGGGAGGGATGCTGTGCTGAACAGTCTATCTGGCACTAGGTACCAAGTCCGAGGATTGTCCTCACACTCACCTGTCCGAGTCGGCAAGTAGTCAGGAGGCCACAGGCGTTAGGGTTGAATAAAAAAAGAATTTGGATTAGAGATAACAGAAGTTGAATTATATATTTTCTTATTAAAATAGCTCATTTTCCCACACATGAGGCATTTCTAGCTCATTTTATTACAAACTGGCAAAGCAAAACAAAGCACCAAGCTGTATGAGTGAAGCCAATTTACAGATCCTCTTTAGAAAAATTAGAAAATGGCATTAATAAAACTACTCAAAAAACTATTCAAAACCCTCATACACTGGTAGGAATGTAAAATGTTGCAGCCACTGGGGAAAACAGTAAAAAGCTAAGCATATTACTCAAAAAAAATTTTAGGGGCGCCTGGATGGCTCAGTCGGTTAAGCGTCCGACTTCGGCTCAGGTCATGATCTCGCAGTTTGTGAGTTCGAGCCCCGTGTCTGGCTCTGTGCTGACAGCTCGGAGCCTGGAGCCTGCTTTAGACTGTGTGTCTCCCTCTCTCTCTGCCCCTCCCTCACTCGTGCTCTGTCTCTGTCTCTCAAAAATGAACAAATGGTAAAAAAAAAATATTTTTTTAATTTTTAAATTTTTATAAATAAATAAATAAATAAATAAATAAATAAATAAATAAATAAATAAAGAGGCACCTGGCTTGCTCAGTTGGTAGAGCATGTGACTCTTGATCTCAGGGTTGTAGGTTCAAGCCCCATCTTGGATACAGAGATTATTTAAAAATTAAAAAAAAAAATCTTTTCTCAAAGAAGTTAAGCCTAGAATGACCATATAACCCAGCAATTCCACTCCTCGGTGTATAGTCAAGAAAAATATAAATATATGCTCAATATGCTCACACAAAAACTTACACACTAATGTTCATGGCAGCATTTTTCTTACAAGCCAAAAATGGAAACAAGCCAAATATCCACCAACTAACTAATATACAAGCCAAATATCCACCAACTTACTGATATAATGACTTATACTAATGAATAAACACATGTGGTATATCCGTACAATGGAATACTGTTTGGCCCTGAAAAGGAACGAAATACTGACACATGCCAACACGGATGAACTTTGAAAATACTATGCAGTGTTAAAGACATAAAAGCTATAGGCTTTATTGTATCCTTTGTATAAAATGTCCAGAAGAGGGAAATGTATAGAGATAGAAAGTAGATTCAGCGCTGAGGAGAAACGGGGACCGGAGAGCGACTGCTAGCCGTGATTGCTAGTAATCGCTAATACCGGGTTTCTTTGGGCAGTGATAAGAATGTTCCAAAACTACAGGGGGTGACAGCACTATGTCTCTGTGAACACACTACAAATCACTGAGTTTTCAAAACTTGTGGCAAAATATACGTAAAATAAAATGTATCATTTCGGGGCGCCTGGGTGGCGCAGTCGGTTAAGCGTCCGACTTCAGCCAGGTCACGATCTCAAGGTCCGTGAGTTCGAGCCCCGCGTCAGGCTCTGGGCTGATGGCTCAGAGCCTGGAGCCTGTTTCCGATTCTGTGTCTCCCTCTCTCTCTGCCCCTCCCCCGTTCATGCTCTGTCTCTCTCTGTCCCAAAAATAAATAAACGTTGAAAAAAAAATTTAAAAAAAATGTATCATTTCAACAGTGCTTAGGTGTATGGGTTCTGTGGCGTTAAGCACGTTCCTGTCGCTGAGCAACCATCACCTGCATCCGTTTCTGGAACTCTTTCTGTTTTGCAAAAACCGAAACTCCGTGTCCCATTAAACAATAACCCTCCGCTCTCTCCTCTCCCAGTCCTGAGCTGGACTTCTTGAGGTTCCTGGTAAATGGACTCATACTCCTTATCTTTTTGTGACAGGTTTATTTCACTGAGCATGATGTCCTCACGTTTCATCCATGTTGGAGCATGTGGCAGAATATCCTTCCTTTTCAAGGCAAGATAATATTATGTTTATCCCTTCATCTGTTGACAAACACTTAGGTTTCTTCCATTCTCTGGCTATTGTGAATAATGCTATGATGAACATGGTTGTTCAAATGCCTTTTTTCTCCCCCCCAACACCCTGCTTTCAATACTTAGGAGTATATACCTAAGACTGGAATTGCTGGGTCATATGGAGGTTCTGTTTTTAATTTTTTTTTAACGTTTATTTATTTTTGACAGAGAGAGGGAGAGAGACAGAGCATGAGTTGGGGAGGGGCAGAGAGAGGGAGACAGAGAATCGGAAGCAGGCTCCAGGCTCCGAGCTGTCAGCACAGAGCCCGACGTGGGGCTCAAACCCACAAGTGGAGAGATCATGACCTGAGCTGAAGTCAAGCACTTAACCGACTGAGCCACCCAGGTGCCCCTCTTATGATAGCCATCTTAACAGATGTAAAATGGTATCTCACCGTGGATTTTTTTTTTTTTTTTTTTTTTTTTTTTACAGTTCACAAATTTGTGTGTCATCTTTGTGCAGGGGCCATACTATCTGCTCTGTATTGTTCCAGTTTTAGTATGTGTGCTGCTGAAGGGAGCACTCATTGTGGTTTCGATATGCATTTTGAATTATTCACTTTTTAAGGGGTAATTTTATGGTATGTGAATTACATCTCAATTTAAAACAACTATTCATTGAGAGGCCTTGTGCACTGAGCATACCTAATGTCCGGATCTTGGCTTCTATGTTTCTTCACTAAAAGAAACCTGATCTGTGGTGAAGAAAGGACAAAGTGAGCCTGGGATATTAAGCAAGGAAGTGCTTAAACAGGGATGCGGCCTGTCTAAAGGACACTGGCCAAATTGGGGACAGATTGAGCATCAAAATGAGTAATGACTATACTTGATTGTAAAATATGGCATAAATAACAATCCATGAACTCATGGCAATAGAAAGGGAGAGAAAGAGAGAAAACAGTGATTCTTTATAGAAGAATCCCAGCTAATAGACGTAAAAGGAATTAGAGAATTTAGAAATCACCATTTTGCAACGCCTAACGAAATAATTGGTTCAAGCAAGGGTTCGGTAATAGGTGCTAGAACCATTAAGTGAACAACTATTAGGAAACCGAATATTCACATGGTGGCATCTCCCAGATTACTTTTAATTACAAATGGAAACATACACCTTTGCAGTGGAGAAATCCGGCAATTACTACTTTAAACACGCGGTCAATTTAAACATCATGAATGGTAGAAAAACTTGACCTCTGTGCTTCCGAATATGACGCAGTAGTAAGTATACAACATCAGCTATTATTCTTACTAAAATGTGTGGCCTGAATGTAATCAGCCTTCTCTAGACCTGATCTTCATTTTCCAGGAATTCAGCAGATAGTGGGACTATTCTCTAAGACAGTTGCCCTAAAATCTTCAAAAAGTTAAGGCCATTAAAAAAAAAGGGGGGGGGGAAGAAGCAACAGCAGCAAAGGGACTGCTGTAGATTAAAAGACACTGAGGAGGGGCGCCTGGGGAGCCCCTGGGGGCACTCCGTTGGTTGAGCCTCCAGCTCTTGGTTTTGGCTCTGATCATGATCTCATGGTTTGTGGGGTAGAGCCCGGCATCCGGCTCCGTGCTGTCAGTGCAGAGCCTGCTTGGGATTTTCTACCTTTCTCGGTGTTCCTCCCTGACTCACGCTGCCCCCTGTCTCTCTCAAAATAAATATATAAACTTTACAAACAAAACAGAACAAAACAAAAAAACCGAGGGGCACCCGGAGGGCTCAGCCTGTTGAGCAGCTGACTTGGGCTCAGGGACCCTCTGTTCCCCTCTCTTTGCCCCCCCCCCCCCCTGTCTCTCAAAAAAACAAAAAGAGACACTTAAGAGACCTAATTAAACAATAGCAGCAACAACAAAACTTCACACCTGTTCAGTAAGGGTCTATTGCTGGCCGCATGTAGACTTTGTAAACTGGTGTTAAAATCAGGGAGGCACATTATCACGCTTTGGTGATAATCTAAAATACTTATTATTAAAACTTGTTAACGAATGGAAATTTTCATGGCAAATCTCTTTCGTATTCCCTCCCCTGTGGGAAAAGAAGTCATAATCACAGAAATGGCTGCCCTTGAAAGTATGTAACACAGCATGTGCTTCAAGATAATTTGTATGATTTATCACTAAATCACAGATTCAGCATGGAAGAAAAGAGAAATGTACGGAACAACTTCTTGTTTCACTGAGCGTGCAAACCCTTTCCACCTGTTAACGTCATTAACTGCAGTATGGGCCACTATAACATAACATTTCTAGACAAATGGAGCTTTTTAAATAGCACTGCCCAATGGAAATATAATGTGAGCCACAAATGTAAACCCATGTATAATTTTACCTTTTTTTAATAGTCATGTTAAAAAAAAAGTAAAAAGAAGTAGGCAAAATTCACTTTAACAATATATTTTACTTAACCCAATACATTCAAAACATTATAATTTCACTAAGTAATCGATATAAAAATGATTAAAAAGACATTTTACATTGTTTTATTGTACAGCCTTTGAAATCGGTATATAATTTGCACTTCTAGCACATTTCAATTTGGACTGACCACATTTCATACACATATAAGTTGGACAGTACAGGCCTAGAGTGTAAATACTGAAATACTGAGTCTAAACAGAACTGGTTTTAAGTGCTATAAATGAACAGTGTCAAATACAAAACTTTTTCCTAGTTATATACATTTGATTTGCTTTTGCACTAGAAATTTTTTCAGGGATGAAAAAAAATAAGCCGAAAAATTCTGTTAACCAAGCACGTGAGTAATATTTTTGTATTTAGGGTAAAAGAGTGGAAATAACAGTGGGGGGGGGGGGGAGGAACCTCCAATTTTATACATACACATTCAAAGTCATTAAACACTAAATTACCTTATAATGCAGTTTACCCAGAGTATCTGGATGCAAGGGACATAAATGTTCCAAATTCTCCTGCCAAGCCAGCCTTAGTTATTTTCCTCTTAGGTTTCCACCACCCAGACCTTAATGCACCAGCACCTGGGCTGATGCAGTTTCTCTCTGCTCTGTTCCGGAAGTTGTTCCAGCCCTGCCTCACAGACACCACCAGATCTGTCCTCCTCTTCCACGTCCCCGCCTCACAGACTGATGCTCCTGTAGGTGCAGCATCCTTCCAGCCATCCTGGATGGAAGGTTTCTGTTATCTGGCTTAACCCCGTCTTTCCATCTTGAATGCCATCCACCTTCCCCCAGTAGCCCAGGCTTGCCCTTGATGTTGCACTTTCTATCTCCCCTCTATCTCTATGCTCCCCTCCCTCTATATCCCCTCTATGCTCCCCTCCCTCTATCTGGCAAGTTAAGTCCTAGCTGCCTTTCCCTGCCTGGTATAAATTTCAAGTCTTTCAAGGAAGCTTTGCTGTCCTGCCTGCCAGCAAGCTACTCTCACCCCTTGTGACCACACTGAGTTGCTTGTTGTCCACTGCCATTCACTCTCGTGACCGTCCCCAAGGGTATCTTACCTTGCTTGTGAGCCCCCAGGGCCAGATCACTGAGTGCTGCAGATTGTTGCCTCACACTGGCCTCAGCCCCCTGCATGGGGCTGCAGTGGGCACTCGGGTATAGAATTGCCCCCTTCCCCTGCCCCCGGAAGCCTTCTCCACAGTTCACAGATGCCTACAAAGTCCGAAGACATGCATAATTCTTACACTTAAAAACATGTGTGTGAGACTCATGGCTACTTTTGCACAGAGCGAAGATCAGGGCCTTGGAAGATATTTGCCCCTTGTGTTATTCTTAGTTTTTTACCCTGTTGTGTATCCACGCCTGCTGCAACATGACTTTGTCCCTCTTCCTGTCGAGAGATGGACCCCACTTCCCTAGCCTTGAATCTGGGCTGGCCGTGTGACTTGCTTTGGCCATTAGAATAAGGCAGAAGAGAGAAAGTGCCTGTGGGACCCTAGGCCTCCAAGTAAACCAGGATCCGTGTGGACACAGTGGGAAGAGAGGGGGGTCAGGGGTCTGCCCTCCCCCTCCCACCGTATGCCAGTCTGGCTCTGCCAGTAATGAAGGAAGATACCTATAAGGGCAAGGCCTTTCACCTCCTGGACCTCGGTTTCCTCATCTACCAAATGAAGAGATCCAACCAGGATAATGCTAGAGTCTTCTAGATCTTTATCATTTCGTGCTCATGAAAACTATTTACACATGTATATTATGTACAGCCATTCTCACCCAACTGGACTCCTGAATTAAATTTTTGCCAGCCATTGTAGAAAACGAGAGTACCCTCTATGTGGAGCAGATAATGCAGACAGGGTATTCAATGTCTTAGCAGTCACTGAAATCTTAAACCATCTTTGAAAATAGTCACTAAAATTAGTCACTAATTCTCCAAGTGCTTTCACGTACCATTGTCTTATCTCGTTCTTCCAACCCTGCAAGATGGTTATTGGTTTCTTGTTTCTTTTGGGGAAACAAACCCCCTATTGGTGAAACTGCTGGGGGTCGCACAGTTAGTGCATGGGGGATAGAGCTGAGATTTAGACCTTGGTCCTGCCCAGAGTCCATACCCTGCCTGCCAGGCTGCACTGTCTTGCAACAATTGGGGTGGCTCAAAATGAGCCATAGAAGTTAGTGCATAACTACCTTCTTGCATTCTGGTGTGAAGACAAATGTAGTAAAACACTTTTATTTTTTTTATTATTTTTTCAATTTTATTTTTGAGAGAGAGAGAGGAAAAGAGGGGGGGAGGGCCAGAGAGAGAAGGAGCCACAGAATCCAAAGCAGGCCCCAGGCTCCGAGCTGTCAGCACAGAGCCCAACGCGGGGCTCGAACTCATGGCCCATGAGATCATGACCTGCGCCAAAGTAGGACTCTTAACGGACTGAGCCACCCAGGCGCCCCTACTAAAACACTTTTAAAGCTGGCAATTTTTTTTATACCTTCATCCTTTTCTTTCAGAGTTTATCCTTAGGGGCAAGGCCTCAGTTAGACCTTTCTGTTTAATTTGCGTTTCTCTGGTACAGTTCCTCCCGTTAGAGCCTGTCATCGCCAGGGATTCACATTTCACAGAACAGCACTCACATTTACAACGTGGATGTTATATCACAATGTGATGATATCTCTACTTACAAGGTACACTGACAAGAATGGGGGGGGGGAGTTGTTTTTCTTATGATTTTAAATTTGTGTCCCTTTACTGGATACCAGTGCTGATAGAGCATTGTTAATTAATAGCCTTACAATCCTTCTGGGTATCTAACAAATAACAAACTGTAAAGAATCACATGTTTTGTATTTTGAAAAAGGTCATGTTCATTATGCATAAACATTTAAAATATGCTCTAATTTGGTTAACTCCAGCTTGAAATTTCTACATTTTATAATACAGCCTCGATGAAAGGAAGAAATGGGCTACGTACTGAGAACAACATTTTCCACTCACATCTGAGCCCTTCAGGGTACAGAGAACCCGAATCGGATAGGATGGCTGGTTTCATTTTCTTTCTAGAGAGGAATAGAATACACCTAATTTCCTCCAGCACCTAAAGAGGGAATTACTCTAGAAGGGTGGCTGGCGGTCTACA